AATTTGGGCTCAAAGTTGACCAATTTCACTCGTATTAAAACCATTTTCCAACATGAACAATATAATTGACGAAATAAAAGACTCAGGGAATTCTCAGTTTCTTTCTTTTTGCTTCTTGATTGATAAATATTTTTTATTGCTTAAGCCATATGACTATTTTTTCTTAAAAATAATGTTTAAAATAGTGATTTTTAGGAGAATATGTGGTTAAAAAGTAGGAAAAATGTAAATTTACGTGCAAAATATTTTATTGTATGAATGTGATTGAAAATGAGTTCGTAGAAAAAAAAATTTGAATCATGATTGTCAACCAGTGACATAATATTAACCTATTTATCTAAATCAATTTTATTATGATCATCTTATGCCCCTCTTTGGGCTCCATTATTCTATATTATAATAAGAGGAATAATAATTTTTTCTTAGAATGTGTTGTTAAAGAAAATAATTTTTTTTTTTAAAATTTACGTGTAATATTATTTTATTGAAAAATGTGTGATTGATAAGAAGGAAAAAAATGAAGTTTAATTTAATAAAGGCCAAACGGTGACTATATTTTAAAAGTAAAATAACTCCATGGACAAAAAATTGTTGATATGTGAGTATGAGTTTGCTGGTTCGAATGGGGACAAAAGTAAGAAGGAAAAGTGCATCATATATGTCTTGTGCACACAATTTTTTAGGGGCAAAAAAAAAAAAAAATTGGATGGAAATTGTCCATTCCACCAACATTTCACACACATTGTTTTAAGGAATAAAATGGGCCTACAATTTAAACTATTACCTAATACTATTTTTTGTTATGTTGTGCCATCTTCAAAAATCTAAAGAAAAATATCAATGCAATAAATAAATAAATAAATAAAAATTTAAAGAAATCTCTTATATCTTTTTGCTAAACTTATAAAGTTTCTTTCAAATTTGTGAAATATTTTTTATAAAAGTTAAAAATAAGTTATTTATTTTAAATGGGCTCCTTTCATTTTTGAAAAGCTATGGAAAAACTAGGTTTGAATCAATCCATGGTATGGTTGATGAAAAAGAGATTGCTAGGGATCTCATAATTTATTGTTTGGGGATTCAAAATTCTCAGGGTCGTACAAAAATATGGCGTAACCATCACATCATATAATTGTGTGGATGTTGATTTAATATATGGCAAGTGCATCGGTCATCTCGTTGCCTTCTTGGAATATACTCGATACTATGATGTTCACTTGAGATAGATTATGGTGACAAATAGCCCACATGGCTTCTAGTATCCGTGTTATCGACCTTCCTCTTTTTTCCAACAATTGAACCTTATAGATGGAGTCACTTCCAATTGATGTTGGGCAACAGTGAAATTAAATAGCATTACTCATTAAAAAATGTAAAATGTGAAAAATGTGACAGGCCAAATTATTAAGAGATGAAATTATTAAAAAAATAATAAATAAAGTTTAACAATTAATTAGGTTGGCATGTCATGGCAAGCTTTCACATTTTAGGTAAAAACCTCATTATTTTGCCCTCGAGATGCAGTTGCTAAGCTAAAACATTTCATTCGTTAAATCAATATTGTTCACTATAGGTTGCAATCAAACTTCCTTCTAGAAATTGGAGAGATTTACTTGGGCGTTGCCTCCGTCAAAAGCTTGTTCTCTTCAAATGAGAAGAAAATCTCGTTGACTAAGTTCAGTTAAGGGGTTTTTTTTTATGAAAATTGATAAATTATAGATCTCATTGAGGCTGTTTGTTTCGGATTAAAATCAGATTTTAATCTAAATCAAAGTCAAACAGTCAATATAAGCCACGTCTTTCATGGGTCTCACAACTTTTCAATCACACATTTCAAAACTAAAAATCTAATTTTAATTTCCACCAAACACCCACTAAATGTAATTAAAATTGAATTTTGATCAAATAATAAGTAAACTTTAACACTAATTAACAAGTCAACATTCGAGCACCTAAAATTTCACAAATAACGTCAACTCGGATTACAACATTTTACATTAAATGACAATCAATCGAGACATTAAAGTCAATATTTGAGCACCTTAAAGTTTCACGTTAAGTGTCAAATCGAATTGCAACATTTCAATCAATTGGGACACGACAAGTACTTACAACAAATTATTAGCATCATGTTAACCACTATTAAATTAATAATTAGTAATCTTACTTGTATTTTTAATTAATTGAAACATTGAGTAGCTATAATTATTGAGTAGAATATTGATGAAATGATTAACGAAATTGATTAGAGCCAACTATGCTGGCATATTACTTGTTATTATTGAATAATGGTATATTAAAACACCCCTATGTATTATTTTAGGTAGCATTAAATGATAAGTTCAATTTAGTTCCTATTTGGAACACATTATTTTTTTCATTCTCATTTTCAACCACACATTTTTTCATAAAAATAATATTTTACATCACATCATAACTTTTCCTTCTTTTTCAACCGCACATTTTCTATCAACCTACTATTCTAGAATACATTCTTCCAAAATAATGTGGCACAAACACAGATATGCTACTATGAAATAATATCGGTCTAGATGATACTAATATGACATTAAATGAGTTAATAATGTTATTTAATATCACTTGTATTTAAAACCAATCTAAGGGTGTGTTTGAGCAACATTATTTTGAAAAAATATATTTTGAAATAGTAGATTGATGAAGAATACATGATTGAAAAAGAATGAAAAATTATTAATGTATGGTTGAAAATGAGTAGAAGAATGAAAACGAAAATTTTAACGTGGCTCAAACAAGGATTAAACAGCATTAAATTATAGGTACAATTATTTATATAATAGAGTCTATCATAGGCTCGCACCTAAATTGGTGTTCAATACAAATAGTATTAGATAACATTATTCTTATCGTAATAACTTATAGCAACTTTTCTCATCTAATGGGTCCATAGGGCCAAGAACCAATACTACTCCGTCGAGATGGTAAATTTTAGAGGAAATTACACCTACACCTGTTTTTAGATTTCCAATTTCACAAATAAGGTTACAAGCTTAATATTTCAAAAATCGGGTTTTAATTAAAAATT